ATTTATAGTTATTTTTTACTTTAAATGTTAAAATTTTTTATTTATAGTTATTTATTTAAAGTTTAAAATATTTAAGCAAAAATTTTTAATAATGTTTCTGAATTAATTTTGTTAAAATTCTAGTGTTACAATAAAAATTCATACCTGATAAGACGTAGATGAGTTCCTACGATGTTGTTTAAAACTTTATTAAAATTTTTGCATGAAATTAAATTATTTAATCGACATCTAAAATTTTCTAATTGACCACAAATATGAAGAATCATTAATACTAGAAGAATATCTACAGACATGTAAATGATAGTTAATAACAAGGAAGTTATGATATGAATGAAAAATGTCAATTCAAATTGTGGACTCTTATTTATGTCGTAGAAATGGTATGTTGCCAATGGTAAAAATTTTCGTCGATCCGTGGAATTCATTACGTGTATTACTTGAATGCCGAAACAAGGAAAGACAATGAATGTGAAAGACTCTATTATTATGAAAATATATCCAATCATCATAATCGCGCTGTTTGTGCTCGTTTTATCATCACATCTCTTTCTCTATCCAACTTGAAAGCCATCCAATCTTCTGCCATCATATTTATGATTGACAAGACATCTTGAAAATATAAATAACTATAGATTAAATACAAACACTATTAAAAGCGTTAAAATATTGAATTATTTAAATTTATATTATTAAATTATTAAATTATTAAATTTATATTATTATTTGTGAATTATTGCACGAAAGAAAAAAAATCATGTACATTTTATCATTTCTTTCCATATATATAATTATATAGTTGCTATATATAGTTGCTATATAGGAGTAAATTATATGTATATATAATTTCTTACTATACTTCAGAACATATTTGTAATTATAATTATTCATCATATGATTTAATAGACAACGGAATATAATAATAAACATTAGAGATGTAACAGATATCCGGAAAATATCCGATATCTGGTATTATCCAGCACTTTACTATCTGACCGGATAGCCGCAAATAATATCCGGGAATATATCTGATTAAAATTTATTATCATTAAATTCTTGATTTTTTTTCTTATGTTTAACAAATGTTCTAGAAATAAGTACACATATTCATGATGTTATAATATCTTATACATTATTGCAAAATTACAATCTTTTTCCCTATAGGCTTTTTTCTTTTTTTTTGGTTTAGAAGATATTTTCTCGGAATCCGATCAGATATCCGGAAAATGTCGAATTCCAAGAAATTGTCTTCTCGGATATCCAATGTTACATTCTATCCGGATATCCAGTAATTTTACGATCTGGTGCATCTATACTAAACATTTTATTTTATATAATTCTGGATATACTTGTTTGTTTCCATCGTATGATAACGTATTTCACTGATATTATTAGCATGGCTAACGTTGTCCGTAAACTATTTATGACAGATATCATATTGCCCCAAACTTCTATAACTGTATATATCATCGGAACATTAGAAACAAATATTAATAAAACAAAAATGATGTCGACCCAAATTTCTAACCACAAGTTCTTTTTATTATATTTGTTGAATTTAGGCCACAAGCCTACCATTTCTAAACTTATACGATGTAGCTTAACTGCCCACAAGAAATCTAATAAAATTTATAATATAAGAGATTTAAATAAAATAGTAGTAAATTAATAAATGTTTATATTATTAAATGATTATTTATAAGAAATTTAGAATTTAAAATATATATATATATATATATTAAACACAGATAACAATCAGAAATTATGTAACATTAAATTGATACCTTTGTATCCTGAAGATTTTGTAATATCCATGTTGAAAACTAAAAATGTGAAAAACGTATCGTTCTATCCATAGTATGAAGTAAAATGATCGTCACGCATGCTCTCCGCACTAACGCAAAAACTCGACTGCCTTGTCAAACGCGACTGTTGTAGCATTAAATATTAAGAATGCTATCCTCAATTACAGATATTAATATCATAAGAAAAAGTTTTATAAACGTTTAAGTTATAAAAATTGTTTATGTCTGGTGTAATAAAATAAAAGATATAAATGCTGTATCGTGTCATAAATTTGCAGAACTCACTTAAAAAGTTCTTTCCATGTTTTTTGTTGCTCTATTATGTATGCTTTTCATATGTGCTTTTCATATTGCTTCATTATATTGCGAAGCAAGAAGTAATATTATACTATTGCATTTTTAATACAACTTTCTATACCAGCAAAAATAATAAAGAAAAAGAAGAGAATGGAAAATGCATACTTATCTTTTAAACATCTTTTTAAAAAATATGTTCAATTGTTATAGTACACGTAAGTAAATGAATAATCTCTAAACTATATATATATAAAATAATTTGTACTTCATTGTCTACGCATTTCTAATGATAATATTTCGGTATCTTAAAACTACAATTTTATAATATATCTTAACTATCAAAAATCTATCTGACAACATTCTTGTAAAAAGGTAATCAATTTATTTTAGCATATTTTTGTTCATCAAAAACAATAGCCTACAAATATTATTAAATGTGTTTAAAACAAAAATTAAAATAACACACAAAATCCTAATCTTCATCGATCTGTTTTTATTGAGGACAATAAGAACGTCATCATTTAGATAATAATCTAGATCATATCTTACAGTAAATAACAAACATTATGAACAAAACAAAATTTTATTTTTACAATAACAATTATTTAATATAACAGTATTTATTCGTATTTATTTATTTGCAAATCCTTATTTTTCGTGAATATTACACATATTACACACACAAAACACACACACACACACACACACACACACACACACATTTATGTATATACATACGTATACACTATCATGATCTTCAACTATGTTTTGTCAGTAAAAATGATATATAACCAGACGATGTTTTTAATACCTAAAAATAATTATATTTTTATTTTAAATTTTGGAAACATCTCGAAAAAAATAAAATATATTTTAACGTAATATTGACTAAAGTGACCCAAAGATTATGTTGTCAATTTATGCTATATTTTTATTTACATCTATCAGAATACTGACTGATCACGATTACTTTAATTTGCATTTATAAATACTTTTCAACATTTTTTAGTTACATAAACGTATCTTACTGTTATGATGTTTCATCATGAAATCTAATTTAAACTGTGATAATAAAATCCAATCTGTTTTAACAATGGATTAATATCATAATTTATATAAAATTACTGTGAATATTAATTAAATCACATTAATTAAAACTCTTCTTATTGAAATTTTAATTTAAACAGAAAATATAAAAATATATAAATAGAAACTTTAAGAACTATATTTTGAACCCCGAGTGAATAGACTTGACTCATACAAGATAATCGATAGAGGCACTCATACAATACGAAACAAAGAGTTTTAATTATCAAATTAAGCTTCTACAAACGTTCTACAGACCTTCTCTTTCTTCAGTTTCTTTTTTTATATACAATACGTGTATACTAAGAATCAACTTTTATATACAATACGTGTATACTAAAAATCAATTTTTTATATACAATACGTGTATACTAAATACAAACCAATAATTGAAAATCGTGTCAATCCCTTTCTTTTTTTTTATCGAAACTCTTTCTAGAATTAGAAAAACAATTATAATGCGCTTACTGGCACTTTGATGTCTTCATCAAAGTATTAGACATATTTCAGATATGACTGTCATCATGTATAACCATACCATTTTATCCATGATATCCATTTTTTGCAAGAGCTATAGTAATATTCTGTAATGGTTCCAGATAAAAAATTTTTTATGCATGAATATGTATAAATATGCATAATATGCATAAATATGTATAAACATACATAAACACGCATAAATATACTTATACATGTATAATTATACATGAAATATGTCCATACATGTTCATACATCCTTCTTTCTTTTGTAAAATTACTTTTTAATATAATAGATATAATAATAATAATGTGAAAACATAAAAAATTAAAAAGATAAATTTCGCATTGTTTGTTTTAAAAAACGAACAAATTTTTAAAAACGTAAAAAAAATTGCTCATACATAATTATGTATAATTTTATATATAATTATACATAAGTAATTTTTTTATATTCCTTTAAACTTGATTTTTTCTAAAACAAAATTACCTTTTTAATTATTTTTCACATTACTATTATTATTTTTATTACATTTCTATCTCTAAAAAATAATTTTACAAAAGAAACAAAGATATATGAACATATGGACATATTTCATATATAATTATATATGTTTATACATATTTATACATATTTATACATATGCATGACAAATGTTTTACCGGGCTTGAGCTCATTCATGATCACGTACTGTCAAAATGCGACAACACATACCGAGATAGAGAGGCGCAAGGATGAGGAAGGGTAAGTGATCCAGAGCGCTGTCTTTAAGGGAAGCCATAACATTGATGAACAAATCGAAATATATGCAAATTATGATGTCCCAAGTAAGAGAAAAAAAGCGCCCATTTCAAGCGCTCTTCTCCGCTATTCTGACTTCTTCGATCGTATTTGCTCTATATACATATTGGACTTATTAACCATACTATATACTAATAAAACTAAGCGCTTATTGGATTACAGACAATCAAATATAATATAATATAATAACAATAGGAAAATTGTCGGCATTTCGGCTCATATCAAAGAAATGCGTTACTTTTATTAATATAGAGCTTTAGATTCTATTTT